TTTTCAAAATTTTTGTTTTGTAGAGATGGGTTTATGTTACTCCTGGCCCCAAGTGATCCTCCCACCTTGACCTCCCAAAGTACTGGGACTAGAGATTTTTTTTTTTCATTGTGACCTGGCAAGGTGGCTTATGCCTATAGTACCAGTTACGTGGGAGGCCAAGGCAGGAGGATCTTGGCAACAGAACACAGGTGATCCTCTCACCTCAGCTTCCTGAGTAAGTGGGACTACAGATGTGTGCCACCATGTCCAGATTTTTTTTTTAGTTTTTTTGTAGAGATGAGATCTAGCTGTGTTGCTAGGGCTGGTCTCCAACTCCTGGACTCAAGCAATCCTTCCCCTCCCCCTTCCAAAGTACTGGGATTACAGGTATGAGCCACCATACCCAGCCCCATCTTAACCATTTTTAAGTGTACAGTTCGGTCGTGTTAAGTACATTCACACTGTTGTGTAGCCAATCTCCAGAACTCTTCATCTTGCAAAACTGAAACTCTGTATTCATTAAACAATAACTCCACTTCACCCTCCCCTCACCTGGCAGGCACCATTCTGCTTTCTGTCTCGATGGTTCTGACTATCCTAAGTACTTTATATAAAAGGAATCATACAAGTGCTGGTCTTTGTGTGACTGGCTTATTTCACTTAGCATGTCTTCAAGGTTCATCCACGTTATAGCACGTGTAGAATTGTCTTCCTTCTCAAAGCTGAATAATACTCCATGGTATATATATGCCACATAATATGCCACATTTTCTTTCTTTTATTTTTTTTTAAGCAGGATTTATTGAGAGGACAGAAAAGCTCCCACAGTGGGAGGGGACCTGAGAGGGTTGTCCACATTTTCACCCATCAATCCATGGAAGGACACGAGTTTCTTCTGCTTTTTGGTTATTGTACATAATGCATGCATACCCATGTTCAAGTATTCTTTTTTCTTTTTTAAGTCAGAGTTTCACTCTCTCACCCAAGTTGAAGTGCAGTGGCATGATCATGGCCACTGAGCTTCAACTTGCTGAGCTCAGGCAATCCTCCCGCCTCAGCCTTCCAAGTAGCCAAAACTATAGGTGTGCTCCACCACATTTGGCTAATTTTTAAACATTTATTGCAGAGACGAGGTCTTGCCGAGTTGCCCAGGCTGATCTCGAACTCCTGGGCTCAGGCAATCCTCTGACCTCTACCTCCTGAAATGCTGGGATTATAGGCATAAGCCACGGTACCCAGCCCCTAAAAATTTCTTGAAGATCCTACTTTCAGTTCTTTGGGATGTATCCTCAGAAGCGGAATTGCTGGATCTTCTCACCTCAGCTTCCTGAGTAGCTGGAATTCTGGTCATTCTGTTTTAAATTTTTTAAAGTAATCATCATACTGTTTAACACAGCAGCTATACCACTTGACATTCCCACCAACACTGTACAATGTCTTCACTCAACCAACACTTAGTTTCTATTGCCTTGATAGTAGCCATCCTGATGGTGAACTGGTATCTCACTGTGATTTTGATTGGTGTTTCCCTAGTGATCAGTAATGTTGAGCATCTTCACTGGTTAGTGGCCATTTGTACATCTTTGAGAAAAGTTTGTTCAAGTCCTTTGCCCACTTTTCAGTTGAGTTGCTCGATTTTATGTGGTTGAATTGACCTCTCCAACCTCTTCTCATGTCACTCTTCCACCTCAGTTAGTGTCCCAGGATATTACCCGCAGACTAGCCCTGTTGCTTAGAAACACATGTGCCCTTCCCTGCCTTTTGCAGTCATTGATCCCTCTTCCAAAAATGCCATTTCCCAGCTCCGTCCATGACTGGCTTCTCATCCTTCAGGCACCAGCATGTCACGCCAGAGACTTTTCCTGACCACCCCACCCATCTAAGCCACCTCTTTCTCTCTCTCAAATCCCTGCTTCTTTTCTTCGTGGAATGTAACTGCAATCTAAAATTACCTTGTTTATTTACATATTTACTTGGAATTTACATGGAATGTAAGGAAGTACCACTGGGACACAGACACGGCCTGACAAGTTCATGGCTATATGTCCAGTGCCCAGCCTAGTACCTGGCACACAGTCTCAGCTCCACAATACTTACTGAATGAGTGAATCACTACTAGAGGGAAGCATGCAGTGAGGAGTAAAGATAGCATGGCCCAAGTTGGAACTTGTCTTTTCTGCCTCAGCTCTAAGCTACAGAAAAGGCCACAGGAGTGCCCTGGCTTTGAATTCCAAACACTAATTTCTGAATCAGGACAGTGCCACTTGAGCCAAGGACATTGCTTTGGAGTTGCTCAAATGGGGACATATTCCCAGCATCCATCCAACAGAGGCAGGAGGCTGTGGTGGTTTGCTATGGCCATCCTCACCCTTCCCCATATGCCTGAGGTGTCAGTCAGCTCAGCTAACATCCTCTGAGGTCTGCAGAATACTTGGATTCTGGGAATGACCTGGATACCATCAGTCTCCTTGGTGCTGAGGATGTCAGGGTACCCTTAGTGAGTGGTCGAAGGATAAAAATGGAACTTCCATACCAGAGAACACTAGAAAAATCGGGTGTTTTTTATTTTAAAATATTTTCAGAGGCTAAGGCCATGGTGGAACAACCCAAGGGTGGTTGAACCAAACTCTCAGGGAATTAGAGGAGCATCAGCCAGGGCAAGCAGGTATGTATAAAATACGCATCATATATAAATAAGCACAACAGAAGGGACAGTGGCCCCAGAGGACCAGGCCAGAGGACAAAAGGGAGGAACAGAGAGAGGGCCCTCCAGAGGGCCAGGCACACCCACACCTCTTAAAACCAGGGGCCCCATGTGCACCTCCAAAGCCATCTACCCTCCAGCACAGTCCTTGCCTTCCTAAGCCTGGGGGTAGCTGGGGACAAGGATCCCCAGTGTCTTGGCATATCCACTCACGACTTGAGTTAGTCTAGCAAGACTCCGAGAAGGGATTGATTCTGTCTGCCTTTCAGCAAGGGGCAAGAAGGAGTGCTTCCCTGAAAACATGTTGGGAAAGATTGATGAAGAGGGCTGGTTCCAAAATCAAGAAGGTGCCATGGGCCCAGAGGGGCACTGTGAGGGGGAGGGCGCAGTGAATGTCACCTGAGATGTAAGCATTTGGTGGAAGTCTGAGGGAGGTCAGGCCAGAGTTCTGGGGCACAGAGAAGGCTTTTGGAATAGAGAAGGCCCCGACAGAGGAGGAGGCATCTCCAAGAGGTTGGTGCTCAGCTTAACCCTAGAAACCGGATGGGGAGAGGATGCAGAGACTGCCAGGCTGAGCTCAGGGACTTGTCAGTGCCTCCAGTCCTCATTTGGTTTGTCATAAATGGGACAATCCCAGCTCCACTGTAAAGAACTTCCACCTGGATTTCATCCCCTGGATAACTCTCAGTGTCTGAAGAGGGAAAACTGGCTATTGCTGATGCTACTGGCATCTTATCACCAGTTACTTTCCTGATACTTCAGGCCTCCTCACTAAGGCCCTTCCAGAACCTCCAAAGGCACTGTCTTAGCAGATGGAAGTCCAAGGGAGGTCAGGCCAGAGTTCTGGGGCACAGAGAAGCCTTTAGGAGTAGAGAAGACCCCGACAGAGGAGGAAGCATCACCAAGGCAAAACCATAACCATGTCCAACCTTCTCATCACCTGTCTCTCTCATGCCCAAATGTATCAGTCTCACCTCCTTGGCTGGTTCCTGCACTGTGTCAGGCCCACCTGAGACATGGAGAGCATCTTACTCATAGAGAGCAGATCCCACAGAGTGGAGGGCCCTCCTGTACGGCCTGCGACACAGAGACTGCAGGTGACATGAGTGAGTTCTGCCCTGTGGTGGCCCAACAGCATCACACCTGGCTGCCCAGGTAAGCCTCCCTGACAGGCTATGGCTGGTCGTGCCTGGAATCCAGGCAGGCAGGTGGGGAATACCCAGCAAGGCCTCAAATCTAAGCTACCACCTTCCCATTCTCTACTTCCGTGGCCTGGGACATGCTGGAAATGTGTGGGCACACCAGGGCAAGACCCAGTACCAGGTTTGTGACCACGGAGATCAAAGACCCTGCTCCATACGTCTCACAAAAAAGTGGAAGTTGAGGACATGGCATTTGGGGGCCTCTGTCTTTACAGCCCCTGTGAGAAGCATCTCCCCAGGTTCAGCCAGCCTCACAGAGAGGCTGGCACTGAGTCTTGTCCAGGAACACACAGCTTCATCTCTTTCTGGAAGCAGGCTAGGAGCCCTCGTCTCTGCACTCACAGCCCTCAGCAGGTCGCTGCCTGACCTGTGGGGTCCTGCTCCCCACAGGAGCACAGAATGTCAGGAGAAAGCGGGGTCCACCTGGTGGTCTGTGTTCTGGCCTCTGACCACACTGCTGGAGTGAGCCATGTGATGGTAAGGGAGCAGCCTTGAAAACATGACCTTTGCCCCTTGAAGTGGCCTCCAGGGTTCTGCCTGTGTGCCAGAACTGTTTCCAAGGAGCAAGCTGAATTTTTTTCTCATTTAAGTGGTTGCTGAAGACTGGTATAGAGAATTCCTCAGCTGGTTCCTGAAAAATCTGGCTTTTTGTTTGAGTCCAAAAACTGTAGACGGCAGTTACTTTGTAAGCAGGCACTTCAGATCACTCACAGAGGGAGGAGGAGTTGAGGGGAGGAGAAGGGATTGGGAATGCTTTCCTTCATACTCAGTCTCAGTACAGCAGCAGCATCGATGCGGGGGCGAGGGCGTGGGTCGTTGGTGGAGATGTGGCACCCAGAGCATCCTTCTTGGAGTGAGGACAAAGGCCAAGTGGCTGTTACCTGCACACAGAAAAGATGCCTAGATCAGGGATGGGCCCTGAGGGGCCTGTGAAGCCTTTCTCACTGCCAAGTGGGCCAAGGTGTGATCTGTGTCCCCTGCACCCACCACCCAACCTTGTGGAGGACCATCAAGCCTCAAAACAGGACCCAGTCCAACCAGGCAGCCTGGTCTTTGGTTTTGGGGCCCTGTCCTCAACCCTCAATCCCAAAGGAATTAGGAAGAGAAAGACCTCACCTGTGCCCAGGGACCGGGCTTCCCCAGTTCAAGGAGCATAACTGCTGCTCTAGCCGGGAGATGCGGAATGCCAGGTAGGATGAGGACATGACCAAGAAGCAGATCCTGGAGAAAGAGGGGGAGAGGAGTTGGATATTTCTTCTAGAAAAAGGGCATTTATGCCAGGTGCAGTGGTTTACACCTGTAATCCCAGCACTTTGGGCGGTCAAGGCAGAAGGATTGCTTGAGCCCAGGAACTTGAGGCCAGCCTGGACAACATAGCAAGACCTCGTCTCTACAAAAATAAAAAAATTAGCCAGGCATGTGCCTGTAGTCCCAGCTACTTGGGAGGCGGAAATGGAAGGGTCATCTGAGCCCAGGAGGTTGAGGCTGTGATGAGCTGTGATCCTGCCACTGCACTGCAGCGTGAGGAACAGAGTGAGACCCTGACACAGAAAAGAAAAGAAAAAAGAAAAAGGGCTTTTTTGGAAGCTCACCAGAATAGTGAGAATGAAACAACTTCTGCATTGGGAAGAATCAAAGAACCCTTTGTCCTGCAGCCATGTGGGCCTGGGCATGTTTCATCCCAGAAACCACATAGGAGTCCTGAGACTCATCCCCATGGAGATGCCTCCACAGCCCAGCAGGAGCTCTGGGCCCTTCAGCTGAGCCCTGGAGGGAGCTCTGGTCAGACAGGGAGAGCTGTCATCCCACCTCCCCTCTGACCAGCCTCCTTGGTCCTTCTTGTGTCCCCTCTCGTGGTGGCAGGCCCATTCCACCCACAGGTGCTGAGGTTGACAGTCAAAATGAGCCAGCAAGCCGGGCATGGCGGTTCATGCCTATTATCCCAGCACTTTCGGAGGCAGAAGTGAGGTGTGCCTGGTGTGCCCTGGTGTGCCTGCCTAAGCTCAGGGGTTCAAGATCAGCCTAGACAACTTGGTGAGACATTGTCTCTACTAGAAATAAAAAAATTAGCCGTGTGTGGTGGTGCACACCTGTAGTTCCAGCTACTTGAAAGGCTGAGGCAGAAGGATCACCTGAGCCCAGCAGGTCGAGGCTGCAGTGGTCGTGGGCAGGCCACTGCACTCCAGCCTGGGTGTCAGAGTGAGACTTCAACTCAAATAAATTTTAAAAACCCATATATATATATATAAACCAGCCAGCAGAGCCAGAGGAAGCTGGGGAGCTAAGGGAGGAAGGCCAGAGGCTGACTGTGTGTGCAACTTCCCACCACGGTCCCAATGCTACTGCTCATCGGACATCAGACAAGGTTCCAGAAGCTGCCCTGGTAGTGGGCAGGGGGTCGGCCAGGCTTTTCCTATCAGTACTTCCCTTCATCTATCAGACAGCCCTCTCCAATGTTGCTGGCCTGCCCTCTCCCAAATCCTCAGCAGCTCCACATCCGGCCCCTCCCCTTCATGTAGACTCAACCCTAAATTACAGGTTTCCAGAATAAACACTGGAGATCTTCCCTTACTGCAGAAGGCAGTGCCACGCAGCCTTCAGGCATCACCAAGAGCTTGAATGTGATTCAGAAGCTTCCGCCCGCTCTGGACAATAACCTCTCACACCCTAAGGCCCCTGTTCCAAACACCTAGACACCCAGGTGCACCTGCCCCCTCCCGCAACGTGGTCACCTACAGCACGAAGAAGACCTTGAGGAGCCGGTAATCCCAGGGCCTCAGCTCCGGGTCCCCTCTGGGCTCCTCCTGCAACCTGTCGCCCTCATAGACAGCATTTTCTGCAATGGGAGAGTGGTTAGGTATCGTCGTGGGGCAGGCAGGACCCCCACCCAGCATGGGCCCAGCCCGCCCACCCCTCCCTTGTTTTCTGAAGCTGCTTGAGCTCTTGCCTTTCCTGTATGAATTTAGAGAAAGAAAAGATCAGCCCCCAGGAGCTCTGCCAGCTGGGGTGAGTACTCTTCACAGATCTGGGAGGAGAGAAAACCTGGCCTTTGCAAGCAGTTGCCATGGACAAGACCCCTGAACTCACCAGATCTTGGAGGCTTCCTGGAGGGGAAGAAACTGTCTGTGGAGTCCACGGAAGCCTGAGGAATACAAGGGAGGTCATCTGGGAGGGACAGGGACCTAGAAACAGGGCACACTTTTCTCCACTTCATCTCGGGGATGAGGACTTCCTGCAGGAAAAACAGGAGAAGCTGTCTTACCGTGGCCCTCGGGATCCCACTGGCCCTGAGAGACCCACATCAGGTCTAGCAGAGATTTTTTCCAGATATTACCAGTATGGATGCCTAGCCAAGGATGGATACAGGTGGGGGAGGTGACAGTTGCCATAGCAACCAGAGTCTCTCCTGTGGGTTCCCTTGCTCTGACTAGCCACTCTGTCAGGAAACAATGTCTTTGAAGATAGTGTAGAACCACCATGTGATCCTATCTGTGCACCAATTCAGGTACATGCTCAGATCTGAGTCCACAAAAGCTCAGCATGTCTCAGACAGGATACGTCATAGCTCCTTCCATTCCAGGCCCTGACACTGAGCAAGTCACTGACCATGGCAGGGGGAACATAGGGTCCCCATCAACCAAAATGAGAACATCGCCTTCTGTCCCCTGCATGGAATTATACATGCTGCATGCTTGGCGAAACACTTAATAGTCACTGAAGGAACCTTCAAACACCCTGGGGTCATTTCTATGCCATCCCTGCCCTAGAAACTCAGCACTACCTTGCCAGGGCCCCAGCTGCCAGAGAAAATTCTCAGAACCTCAGCAAGTTGAAAATAAGTCTGTCTGAGTTCTACCGTGGTGGCCCTCGGAGTCTTTCCCCAGGGACACCCCTATCCCCTAGAAGGCCCTCCTGACTCAGTCAAAGGAAAGAGGCTGATTACTGGCCCTGCGTCTGTCCAGGTATGGGATCCAACGGGGCTCGTATCCTGGGGTCTGGACTTCTATTCTGCTCGGGAAGTCGGCACATGTGCCGAGGACCTAGAGGCTCTGTGTGGTACAGAGTATGGCAAGTTTAGGGAACCCCCAGCACACACGACCACTAGTCTGGCACCCTAGTTCTGCATCGTGGGCCCTGAGGTGCTGCGGGCACTCTCAGGACCAGCCTCACCCTTACCAGAGACTCGCACTCAGGCTCCTCTGGAAATTCTCTTAAACTCAGACTCTTCTTGCTGGAAGGCTGAAGAGGGAAGGGAACAGTGTCACATGTCCATCTGAACAGGCACAATCAGACAAAGGGGGGCATCAGCACCCCAAGACGGTTTCACCTCCAGATAAGCTACTTTGTGTCGGGGAAACCCAGTTCCCAGAGTTTGCAGTGGGCCCCTGCTTGATGCTGGAGCAGGGGACAAACCCCAGGCAATGGACTCCCCCATGCTGCTGCCTCACTTCCTCACCACGGGCCAGAGAGTTGGAAGGTGTGTTGCGAGGCAGCCAGAGGCTCTGTCTGTACACCAGAAGGCACAAGTAAGGCGTGTGTAGACAGACAGTCCCGACTCACAATGGGCTGGCTTACAGTGTTTTGACTTTACAATGGTATGAAATTGATACACGTTCAGTAGAAACTGTGCTTCAAGTTCCCATAGTTTCAGCACAGTGTTCAATAAGTTACACAAGATATTTAGGCTTTGTGTTAGATGATTTTGCCCAACTGTTGGCTGATGCAAACGTCCAAGCATATTTAAGGGAGGCTAGGCTTAGCTACTGTTTTTGGTAGGGAAGGTGTACTGGACGAAATGCATTTTTGATTTATGATATTTTCAATTATGATGAGTTTATTGAAACATACCCCATCATAAGTTGAGGAAGGCCAGGCATGGGGACTCACAACTGTGATCCCAGCACTTTGGGAAGTGGAGGCAAGAAGATTGCTTGAGCCCAGGAGTTTGAAACCAGCCTGGAAAACATAGCGAGAACTTGTCTCAATAAAAATTAAAAACTAGCCGGGCTCGGTGGCTCAGCCTGTAATCCTGCGCTTTGGGAGGCTGAGGTGAGTGGATTACCTGAGCCCGCGGGTTTGAGACCTGCCTGGGCAACTTGGCGAGACCTCATCTCTACAATAAATCAAAAAATTAGCTGGGCGTGGTAGCGCGTGCCTGTAGTTCCAGCTACTTGGAAGGCTGAGGCGGAAGGATTGCTGGAGCCCAGCAGGTCGAGGCTGCAGTGACTGGGAGTGACCGCTGCACTCCAGTCTGAGTGACAGAGTGAGACTCCAACTCAAAAAATAAACAAAATTAAAATTAAAACTAAAAACTAAGCCAGGCATAGTGGCACATGTAGTCCCAGCTACTTGGGAGGGTGAGGCGGAAGGATTGCCTGAGCCCAGGAGGTTGAGGCTGCAGTAAGTTGTGAGCATGCCACTGCACTCTAGCCTGGGTAAAAGAATGAGACCCTGACTAAAAAGTAAAAATAAAAATATGTAATAATAAGTCAAGGAGCATCTGTATATGGGGACACACAAGGGCCCACTAGCCTCAAAGAGGCACACACTGTCCAGGAACTGCATCTGATACACTGAGCCTGCGCCCTTTACTCCCCTTCCCAGCCCCGTTCCCTGGGCTGGAGAGATGGGCCCACCTCCCCATCACCCTTGTCCCAGACCTGCTCCAGGCCTGAGCAGCCTCCCTGTCCCAACTCCCGTCCCCAACTCCATACCTGTAGGTGGGTACAAACTCTCCTCAGCATGTCATACACACTGTCCCGGGACATCAGTGACACAAAGATATACTGGTGCATGGAAAGAAAACAGAAGAGGGTGGGATGAGATGAGACCCCCCAGTAGGCCTGCCGTGGACTGGGGACAGGCCCACAGGGATGTCAGGTTTTGAGAGCCAACACGACCTCTGCCTAGGAACCTCTCCTCCAGCTTGTTACACGGCTGCAGGGTTGGGCAAAGCAAAGTCCCAGGAGTGTTCCCAAGTCAGGCTGTGGGCTCCCAGGCCGGGACAGGGAGACTGATGGGAGCACTAGTCCAGAGACTCACTGACCTTCTGGCTGGTGTTGGTGGTGATGGCCAGTCCATTGGGAAGGAGCCGCGCCACCTTGTGTTTTTTGATCATCTGCACAGACACCACGGGAATGACCACCTGAGAGGGAAGGGCAGGCTTCCCTCAGGACTTGCCCCCAAGGACGTGGTTCCTTGCTCCTTGTATAGGACCCTGCACATATCTGGCTGTGAGCCAAGCATGAACACCATGGGAGAAGCCTGGTCCCACCTGCAGAAGTTATCCTCACCATCCTGCCCCGGGGGGCAGTACTGTCCCTCTGGCCTCTCCCCGGGTGTGGTTCCTATTATCTTGGAGGCCAGGGTGGCTGCTCTGGTGAATCGGATCTCAGTAATGGAGCTCTCTGAGCTACTTAGCCACAATTATGTCTCCCTCTAAATGCAACAGCCTGTTCTGATGCTGAAAGCATTTCAGAGATATCCTGAGGCAGATTAATTTGCTGTGAACTATGCAGGCCAGTTCAGGTCAAATGTGGGGTCTAGTTGGAGTCCCTGTTTTGTTTTGTTTGTTTGTTTATTATTTTTTAGTCAGAATCTCACTCTGTCACCCAGGTTGGAGTGCAGTGGCACACTCACGGCCACTGCAGCCTCGATCTGCTGGGCTTAGGTGATTCCTCCACCTCAGCCTTCCAAGTAGCTGGAATCATAGGCCGGTGCCACCATGCCTGGCTAATTTTTTTATGTATTGTAGAGATGAGGTCTTGCCACGTTGCCCAGGCTGGTCTTAAACCCCTGAGCTCAGGCAATCTTCTCGCCTCTGCCTCCCAAAGGACTGGGATTATAGGCGTGAGCCACCTTTAGAAAGGGCAGGATTATTTCCCTGGACCCCGGGGGGAGGATGCCTCACAGCTGCCCATCCAACCAGTGAAAGGCTTCACCAAGTGCCCGGCATGCAGAAGGACAGGCACAGCATGAGGCATGCCCACCAGTCAGGAGACTGGGGCCTCCCTGTGCCCTGGCAGCCCTTACCACTCAGTACTACCTTGATATCCTTGCCAAACAGGCCAGCATGGAAGCAGAGCCAGTTGGGGGAGATGTAAAGCCGGCCCTGGATAAGGAGGTCCTTCTGGAGGGCACAGGAACACACTGGGAGGTCACAGAGAGAAAACCGCCATAAGCAAGTTTGGCCCAGGAAGCCAGGGTCCCCACCCATGCTCAGGAGTCAAGTCCAACCTCAGGACCTGTCTTCCCCCTTTCCCACCCCAGACTCCGAACAACCCATTCCCCCAGTACTGGCCAAGGGCCCTTCTCCTGACTGCCCCCACTCTGCCCACCAGACTGCTAGAAGGTTCTTCTTCCTCCATCCATGCCTCACAGGATCTGGGCAGGTTCCTCCCTAGTCTCCAAGCCTGGAGGCTCACTACCTCAGGCAGAACCCCTGGCCTTGCCCTGCCCTGGAGAGGAGGGCTTGACTGTGCAAATGTCCCCACTTGCTCCATGAGAGGCCTGAGCAGGGAAGAACAATCATTGCTGTGCCCTGACACTTCCTCAAGAAAACCTTCATAAGGTCATTGCTTTGTTAAACTCTGGTGTATCTACGTGGCTCTTTAAGCTATGGCCACCATGTTTCCTAGCTTTGGCCCCTTCCCCTACCTTGGGGAGGTGAATCTCCTCTCTGTCTCTCTCTCTCTCTCTCTCTCTAATTTACTTTCTAAATAAACTATATTTTCCAATCTAAAAAAAATTAAAGAAAATCTTCATAAATTCAACCCTATACCCCAAACCAGCCCTGTCTTCTTACACTTTTAGAGAGAAAAGAACCAGCCACATCCAAAGGGCTATGGGCTCCCACATCTAAATTGGGACTGGGGGGTCCACAGCAGAGGACCTGGGCCCTGGGCACCGGGTGTCGACTAGCTCCACTAGGAGACACTCACCTTTGAGAAGCACCTCCTCCAGGGGGATGTCCTTGAATAGCTTGTGGTATTGCTGGTTATATTTACTCAGTGGTGTCTGCAAACACCCGGACTGCGTCTAAGACACCCGGGAGATCAGACCACCAAAGGGGCCCTGCTCCAGCCACCAGGAAATCAGGCCACAGCCCCATCCCAACCCCCTGGGGACTCAGCACCAAGCAGCCAGTGGGTGTGGAGGGCCGAGTTCCAGTCACTGCTTGTCTCCTGGTGATGCTGGGACCTGTCAGGCAGCTGTGACTGGGGGGACACAGCACTCCCACCAGGGAAGGGACGCCTACTCAGGGATCCTGGTTTCCGGGTGACAGGGCTGGTGGCCGAGGAGCCAAAAGTCACTGGATTCGGGCAGCCTGGGACCCCTTCCCCAACGACAGGGAGAAGTCAGCTCCTGCATACTCACCCCTTCCCGGCCACACTTCTTTATATCTTCGCCCTTCCAGCCTTCTGAACAGTGCAGACTGCAAAGGAGACATTCCATTCCCGGGAGAGAGAGCCCTTGAGGCTGGCCCATGCAGCCTCAGTGCCAATTCTGCCCTGGCTCTGAGCCAGAAGCTTGGGGCACAGATTGGAGACTAGGGCCATCCCCTAGGGGACACGGCAAAATGGCGAGGACAGGGAGCACATAGCTTATCCCTGATAGGATGGAGGGAGGGGTCACTGAGAGTCCCCTTTGCAGATGGGGAAACAGTGCTCCCTGGGGCTACGTTTGGAGCTGCCCGCCCTAGGTGTCAGAGACCCTCTCCCATTTCTCTGGCCAAGGGGCAAGCAGAGGAGCAGGCAGCACGGGAATGGGGGGCCAGTGTGGGGAGTGGGCGAGATTCACTGTCAGACTCAGCGCCAGGGCCTGCCCGTGGGCCACGATCCCGGCAGGCCGGCCCTCCTTGCCACCTCTTCCTGGTGGCACAGACTCAGCTGACCTGACTGAGGTAAGCAGCTGGGAGGGGGGCGTGGCACTGAAATGCAAACCTTTGCCCAGAACAGGTTAGCCTGAGGACAGGTGAATGGGGAGGAGGCTGGTAACCCAAGAAGCCTGGACGCTGCCAGGCCCCAGTGCACTGGGACAGGCCTGGGGGGTAGGAGGAAGAGGTCCTGGGGCAGCCCGTGCCAACCTCACAGACCCGCAGAGGGGCCTGGCTCAGCCCTGAGGTCCCCTTCGAATAGGTCACCTCCTGAGGGCTTCCCACCCCCATCTGGATGTGCTCTGCCTTGGAAGAGGGTCCTCACCTGGGGCCTGGGGATTCCTGGACTCTGTTTGGTTTATCTGCACAGGACACGGGGCTCTTAAGAGACGCTGTCTTCCCGTGCATTTGCTGGTTGCTAGGGAGAAACAGTCCACATCAGAAAGGAGGGCTCTATGGGGACATCTTGTCCCACCAGCCCCACCATGCCCAGGGCGGCTGCCTCTGTTCCCCACCCAAGGCCCATCCTGATGTCCAACAGGAGGCTGAGGATAGCACGGTTCGCAGGCAGGCAACTTAGGGAGAGGTCCTGGGGCCCTGCCGGGGTAGGGAGCTTCTCACGGCATCTTTCCTGAAATCCTGAAGCCCAGTTTATGGCTGGGCTGGAAGGAAAGACTCTGACACCTGCGTGTGCTGAAAGTGAAGGTTTCTGAGATACTGGGCAGCATTACGGTCAATCGTCCGAATCTGGGAAAGGATGCAGAGCCCAGAAGGCCTTATCAGAGCAGAGGAACTGATGCACTGAGGATGTGAAGGTGGACTCGTCAGTCTGCAGGGAGCATGGCCAAGAGGGGAGGGGCTGCCCCATACCAGGAAGCGGCCTCAGTCACCTGGGACAGTCAGGACAGCTTGATCATGAGAGCCAAATCACCTCACAAAATGTCATAGAGGCCAGGCGCAATGGCTCATGCCTATAATCCCAGCACTTTGGGAGGCAGAGGCAAGAGGATTGCCTGAGCTCAGGAGTTCAAGACCAGCCTGAGCAACAGGATGAGACCTCGTCTCTATAATAAATCAAAAAATTAGCTGAGTGTGGTGGTGTATGCCTGTAATTCCAGCACTTTGGGAGGTCGAAGTGGGAGGATTGCTTGAGCCCAGGAGTTCACGACCAGCTTAGGCAATATAGCAAGACCTTGTCTCTACAAAAAAATAAAAAATGTAGCCAGGCATGGTGGCACATGTCCCGCAACTCGGAGGCTAAGGTGGAAGGATCGCCTGAGCCCAGGAAGTCGAGGCTTCAGTGAGCCATGATTGTGCCACTACACTTCAGCCTGGGTGACAGAGTGAGTCCCCGACTCAAAAAAAAAAAAAAATGTCCTAGAGAGAGGGTCCGGGAGGGAGAAGACCCTCTCTCCCTAGGCAGGTGGACTCCCAGTTGCCTTTAAGTTCCTGCCTCCAACTAACAGCTCCAAAGAATAATTTCCCCCTTGCTGCCCCTCCGAGCTTGGAATCAAAGCCAAAGCAGTCAAATTAGCCCTGAATGAGTGGGCCCAGAGCTGACCAAGGAAGAGAGAGTGGCCAAGAAGGAGGGCCAAGCCAGGGCAGTGTGGTGGTCAGGAATAGGCAATAAGGTCAAGTAAGGTCAAGTCTCTCAGCAAGACCGGAACCTGGAACCCACAAGTCCCAGTGCTCAGTCACACTCGGACTGGGGCCATCTGAGTTCTCTTCTTCAAGAACAGAGTTATCAACTCAATCCAAGATCTACCAGGACCCTCAGGGATTACTTAGTCTGATCCCCTTCCACCACACCATTGTACAGATTAGGAAACAGTCCCGCCAAGGGAAAGGCTGTGCCCAGTGTGACACAGTGAAGCACCAGGTGACCTCACCCACAAAATCAGCCTAGCCACAGCCATGTGATCTGGTGACCTCTGTCCTTGACCTATAGAGGGTTTTGTCACACACGTCAGTGTAGACCTATTGAATCTTGTGACATGACAGACTGTGCAAGTGATTTGACCCTTTGACTCTCAAAGCTAGTTTCTAGATTTTCTTTGGTTCCATCACATTTCACAGGGATTTTTTCCCTTTGATTTTTTTTATACTCATAGAAATTATGAGAAACATCAAATATATATATATAAGATCAAAATCAACCATAAGAAATAGTCCCCAAAACTCACTCAAAGAGAAAAACTCATGTATAAATGTATAATTTATGTAAATGGTTACATAGCACATAATTTGTATCTCCTACTTTTGTTGCTTAACATGATTTCATGACAGATGGGACAGATTCTCAGAAATGAAATCAGTGGACTGAGAATGAACACTTCTCCGGTTCTTTAGAGCTGCTTTCAAAATGCCTTTCTAGTAGAGTGCCATGGCTCACGCCTGTAATCCCAGCACTTTGGGAGGCAGAGGTGAGAGGAATGCCTGAACCCAGGGTTTCGAGACCAGCCTGGGTAACTTGGCAAGACCTTGTCTACAATAAATCAAAAAATTAGCCAGGCATAGTGGTACACATCTGTAGTTCCAGCTACTTGGAAGGCTGAGGCAAAAGGATTGCCTGACCCAGCAGGTTGAGGCTGCGGTGGCTGTGAGCGTGCCACTGTACTCCAGCCTGGGCAACAGAGTAAGACTCTGACCCCCCCAAAAAAAATGCCTTCCAGATGCTGGACCAATTCACCTAGCCATCTGCACCTTACAGGGATCCTACATTCCACATTCAAGCCCTTCTCTGGATATCATCTTTTTCTCTCCCTTGCAAATGTGATAGGTGAAACTATGTTGTCTTCATTTGTATTTCTGCTTACTGGCAGATTGAACATTTTTTCCACTCATTCATTCATTCATGACACAGGTTAGCATTCATAAGACAGGATCTTGTTCTGTTACCCATGTTATGCAGTGGTGTGATCATAGCTCACTGCAGCCTTAAACTCCTAGGCTCAAGGGATCCTCCCATCTCAGCCTCCTGAGTAGCTAAATATGAATACATATATTAACCACTAGAATTTCATCTGTGAATTGTCTGTAAGAAGTTTTCTTCATTTATATAAATTCTTTATTGATAATATCAATCCTTAGTTTATCATTTTACAGATATTTTCCCCAGTTGGTCATTTATCTTAATTTTGTCTGTGGTATTTGTGCTGTGCTTATGTTTAATTACTGTGTGGTCAATTCTTCTGTCCCTTCCATAGATCTGTTTCTCACTCGGTTTGATCCTGTCATAGGATGGGCCCCTAAAGTGTAGCATGCATGTATAAGTCAAACTAATGAGCCACTACAGAGCTGGAGCCTTGCAGACCTGAGGAGGGAATGCGCTGGGCCACCAGAAAACAGAAGTGTGTGAGTTTAGTGCTAAAGAACACACCCTAGCCGGGCTCGGTGGCTTAGCCTGTAATCCCATGCCTTGGGAGGCTGAGGTGAGTGGATTGCCTGAGCCCGCAGGTTCGAGACCTGCCTGGGCAGCGAGACCTCATCTCTACAATAAATCAAAAAATCAGCCGGGCGTGGTAGCACATGCCTGTAATTCCGGCTACTTGGAAGGCTGAGGCGGAAGGATCGCTGGAGCCCAGCAGGTCAAGGCTGCGGCAGCCAGGAGCAGCCACTGCACTCCAGTCTGGGCGACAGAGTGAGACTCTAACTGAAAAAAAAAAAATTACTGTTCATTTCTTTCTAGGTTTATTGAATCAAATTCAATTATTCTGTAACATGTAGTTCAATGCTAATTTCTCTTTACTGCCAATAACCTGATTGCACTGCTGAAAGACTTCAAGCGTCACACCGATACAGCAGATGTTGACCTTATTTCTTACCTTTTGAGGACAAGATTTACTGTTCTATTTTGTTTTCCTTATTGATTTTTGTTTTAAAGAAACTCCTTCCCGAAACTTGGTGCAAAAGATCAAGAACCAGGCCACTCCACATGACAACCCACTCCCTTCAGTAGTGTATGCTGTATGGGACAGAGGGGAGGTAGGAAGGAGTCACTGTTGAACCCGGGACTCTAATGAGAGAGATATAGAGACCACAAAGAGCCAGCTCCAATGCAAACACACGAGGGTCTTTATTCAGGCTCGAGTCTGCGCTCACGCCCGAAGCAGCAGCTTCAGGGACCAGAGCCCCGATTCACAATGGCAAGCAGTTCCTATGCACAATTACAGAGGAAGGGGAAAGAACTCCAAACTTGATTTTACATGATTGGGTAATTTCTCCTAATGGGTATGGGAACACTTGGTATTGGTGGGTGCTGCCCGTGATTGACAGAAACCCACGTAATGGGTCAAGTGGAACGTTAGATAAGTTAGGTCCCTACAGTCCCTGTTTATGAAGTAACCTGAGCCGGCAGACAAAGGGTTACATTAGCCCTTTTAGTTTACCGATCCAGCCCAAGGCTTGCTTAGGAAAGCTTGTTTGCTTAACCTTTACGTAACATAACATAGTCATTATGGGACAACAAAAGCCAAACTTAACAAAGTTTTAAATACGAATGCTGCAAACACATACAGTGAATGTGGGGTAGAAAATCATATACTAATTCTGGGAATTTATAATAGCAAGCTTATTATAGCAAGGTGGTTACTTTTATAAAAGTCTTTGTTCCCTGCAGGTTTACATAGCCACTGCGTGTAAATTATCACTGAGATAAAAACCGGTGATAAAGCCCACCTAGAGAGGAGCTGGCTCCTCTAAGTCTGGTGCCACCTTGTAGGAATGTTTGAAAGAGGCTTATCACTTTATCCTTTACATCCCGTTGTAAAAGCATAAGTTAGCCTGCTGGTTTGGGGTTGACAATGCTTAACCCAAGGATTCTAAATACAAACACTGCTTAAAACCCGACATATGCCTAATTCTATGGGGTCTGAGGTAGGATTTAAAGTACTAAGATTTCATAAAATACATGAGGTAGGAATACACAAAATATATAGCAAACATGAGGTGGGGACATATGAAATATAGTGAACTAAACACTACTTTTACAGCAAATAAGTTTCTTAGTTTCTTGGGTCTCTCAATAGCATGCTCTTAACCTAAATCTATTGTTGTCCTCTCAGTCACGATGAAGCAAACTTCTCAAGGACATAAACATTATCTTGGCAGAGGCCATGGGAAACAGGATGTGGGAAACCAAAGCCCATGCCCCCTAAAGCTGCCCATTCTAGTGCTGAGCCCGCTGCTCCCTTCTGCAGCTAAAAGGCTGAGGAAGCCAGCCATGGCCTGATACAGCCTACAGAGTCACTCAGAGTTGTACAAGACCTGTGTCTGGGATCTAAACGGTTTCAGCGTGCCACAAACACCCCACCCAGTTGCCTCTCACAACCTGTGTGCCTTCCCTCCTTATCTTCAGCCTCCCTGAGTCACCCCAACCTATCTATCCTCTCCATCCCTTCCAGCCTAAGCCACTGGTGAGCTCCACCCCTCACCACGATGCAGGGTGGGCTCCCACCTTTCCAGGGTTCTGAAGAGCATCCTTCTAGATAACCCTGAGACACTTTCAGATGTTAGCCTCTGCAGCCCTTGCATTA